ATTTTTAAAGAAAAACCTTCAGAGTATCTAATAATAATATTTTCAGTTTGATAAAATTACTTCTGTCAAAATTTTGAGAAAAATTGTGATAGGGCCAGTCCGTTTCTGGACACCTGATAATAGCAAAAAGTTGATTTTAGCATCAAATCGTAGAGCTCCATGTGTAATACAACGTACGAAAATTTTATTAAAATATACAGGGTGGTTTCAAAGTTATAACCCTAAACGTTAATTTCTAGGTACCCCTTTGACCCCCCATAACTCCGTTAAGGGGCACATTAGGAAAAAAAATTATAGGAAGGACTAGTTTTATTTTGACCTCCCCTATACACTCCCGAGAGATTAGGAGGTACTTACCGGACACCCTGTATAATAGATGTTTTTAAAACATCGCTGAATTAGTAAAAAATATAGAAATGTCTCGTTTCTTTATCTTCTAAATAAAGGCTCCTCTTCCAATATAACAATTATTTTTTAAAGATTTCCTCACCATACAGGGTGTTTTACAGGCTGTGTTTTTCTTATATTAAAATAGGTCCGATTCGTTTTTGTTTAGAAGTTATATACAAGCTTTTAAAAAATTATAATTTCTTATATCGGTTATTTTTAACATTTTATAGAAAACGTAGCGAAAATAACGATGCATTCAGCTCTAGCATAAGGTTGACACAAGCATCATATTTATGAAATTTACTTTGTATGGACATTGACATGATAGGAGATAACAGAGGTAAGTCCAATATCTAGGTTAATAAAAGATATAACTTAATTTTTTTTCTACAGAGTTGCTTACTTTCCCGAGCTACACAAAATGAAAATATATTTGCATATACAGGATGTTCAGTTTTTCCTGGGCAGGTACCAACTTAATTTTTTTAAATGGAAACCTATATTTTTTATGGCATTATTGAATTCTACGTGAAAAATTAACGGGACTTTGTGTTATGATCCCTATTAAAATATTGATAGTTTTCGAGATAATCGACTTCATTTTTTTTTCTTACGTTTCGTCACTTCTAGTAGTTGACATAGTTATGATTGTATGACAGCTAGAAATTATTTTTTTTTTCATGAACTGTAGAGTGAAGATGGCTCTTTCAAAAAACGTATCAAAAGTTGACCTGCGATATACAGGGGGCAAAAAAATCGTGCTAAACCTGATAATTTAAAATTTTAAAAATTTTGAATTTTTCAAATAGAACACCCTGTGTTTTATGATTTCATTAGATGCCTTTCTGTAGACCCTACATTTTTTAATAGCCGTCTCTATACCTAAGTTGCGTAGATTTTGCAAAAAAACATTTTTATGTAAAATAGGTACCGGATTTGCGCCCCTTCCTTTGTCGGGAAAAATATTGCAAGGGTATTTATTTTTATTAAATTTATTAGTTGTCTGACTACACTATTTAAAATAAAAATTATAACTGAAAAATTTAGATATTTGAGTTTAATAAATAAGTCTTTATGGACAGTTACCATTTATTTGTAAATAAAATCAAAAAACCAAAAAATCGCTACAAGTGATTAAGAATTAGCAAAATTTGGGAAATGTTTGCTAACAGCACGTATTTACAAAGCAAATAATCCAAATTTAGAGATTCCCACTGTTTTGAAAATGTGAGGGAAAGGTTTGAATGAACAGCAAATGCGAATTATGAGGTAACTACCAGGAGACATGAAAGTAACAACGATATTATTTAGTTTAAACTTGTGGCGTCTGCTGTTGAAAATCCAAATATTAGTGCCAGGAAATTAGTAGTAACCTTGGAGTTTTCAAAAGCTTGACAAATAAAATATTGAAGAAGTTTCATCCGTATCATATTGAAAATCAAGCACTGTTACCGTAGATAGGAAAGTTATTAGTGAAATTGGAGATTAAAAAATTTAAATGAATAGAAATTTGAAAAAAATACTCATAGTCCAAGCTAACTTAAAATAAATACCCTTACAATGTTTTTCCCGACAAAGGAACGGGCGCAAATCCGGTATTTTACATAAAAATGTTTGTTTTTTTTGCAAAACTACGCAACTTAGGTATAGGGAAAGCTATTAAAAAATGTAGGGTCTACAGAAAGGCATCTAATGAAATCATAAAACACAGGGTGTACTATTTGAAAAAGTCGAAATTTTTCAAATTTTAAATTACCAAGTTTGGCACGATTTTTGTTGCCCCCTGTATATCGCAGGTCAACTTTTGATACATCTTTTGAAAGAGCCATTTTCGCTCTACAGTTCCTGAAAAAAAAATAATTTCTAGCACTAGAAGTGACGAAACATAAGAAAACAAATTAAAAGTCGATTATCTCGCAAACTATCGATATTTTAATAGGGATCATAACACAAAGTCCCGTTAATTTTTCACGTAGAATTCGATAATGCCATAAAAAATATAGGTTTCCATTAAAAAAAAATTAAGTTATTACCTGCCCAGGAAAAACTGAACACCCTGTATATGCAAATATATTTTCATTTTGTGCAGCTCGGGAAAGTGGGCAACTCTGTAGAAAAAAATTAAGTTATATCTTTTATTAACTTAGATATTGGACTTACGCGCACTAGGTGGACACGGTGTATATTTATAGGAATATAGTTTTATAAAAGGTACAGGAAACCGGCCCGAGTTCTCACGGACGTTTTTCAGTTGAGTGCGCCTACCGCGGCTTTTGTATCTGGAATTTATAGAAACACTTTAACGTGCCTTTCGTTACACAACCAAAACCAGTACCGTGATCCAAAAAGCGTGGAATCATCCACGAGCCTCGAGTCCCGTTTTGCGATTGCCCAATCAGGGGCAACGGCCTACTGTCTGTCGAACGAGAGATGTTCCCGATCTTGATTTTTTTTTTCAGCTTCCGCCCGACCTTGTACCCGCGATGGTACAAGGTCAAGTCTGTTTTATCCCACGTGTGCCGGGGACACGTGTTTCGTACGCGCTCGCTTGCTTTTGTCCGCCGAAGAAGTCGATGAATGTGATCCATTGTTAAAACAAAAAGACGAAACGTGGTTTAACGAGATTATTTGCATATTAATAAAATAAACATATTCTGTGCAAAATATTCAATAATTTTAAATGGAACCATCATTGCAACCAAATATACATGGTGTTTCAGAGAAACGTATCATCGGTGAAATATCATGTTACAAATTAAGTCGGGATTATGATACGTCTTTTGTTTTCAAGACACAAAGTGTTAGTTTTATTTGTACAATCATATTTTTGTCACTTACTGTCATTGTTACTAGTTAGGTACTGAATTATTATTAGTCTATTTGTGTTTATATACAGGGTGTTAGTAAATAAGTGCGACAAATTTCAGGGGGTGATTCTACATGAGAAAATAATGGCAGTTTGCTTATAAACGTATGTCCGCAGTGGACCCTGTATATACAGCTAAAATTAACTAAAAAAAAAAAGGAAGCCAGAAATTTAGACTTTTTAGCTAATGGTTTTGCGGAAAGCAACTACTCTGCGGGCTACAGCTCCATTCAACATTGAATTACATGCTCATTGTCAAGTAAATAGCTAAGATCATTCGTCAACAGAATGTGTTCCACCCGTTTTGTGTGGTATGCAAAATATTTTTGCAGGATTCAATTTATTTTTCTACAAAGTCGTCTTCGACATAACCGTCAGCTAATTTAGAGCAGCAGTATTCACGCAATTATAGTGGAATTAGTTGTGTGCAGCTAATTTTCCATTCTTTCTCGATTTCAATACCAACATTTTCCTATTATTAATACTTTCTTCCCCAAACATTTCTACATTTAAATTCATTATGTCTCTTAAATCTACGTTGAATAAAAAATTTCTTAAATCGTTGAAGTACTGTTCTTGAGGCACTTGCCTATGTATTGTAATATACTGTTTTTTAAATTAAAGGCATCTATTGTAATATAGGTACATACTATTTTTTAAATTAAAGGCATTTAGCTCCAAAACCCGGGTTCAAAATAATTTCAAGGTAATATTACTAGAAAGGAAAATTGGGAACTGAGCTTCCTGTTAAGGCAGTTTAATAAATTTAATGTTATATAAAGTGCTCAACGACAAATAAAAGAGTCGGAGTTAGGAGTTATATAAACTAGGAGAAGCTAGATTAAGGAAAGGGTTTGAGATTCATCTTAGTTTAGAAACGCACACCACAATCTTCTAGACAGAAGTGATGGCCATTGAATGCTGTCTAAGGGATTAAAACAACTAATAAATTGCTATTTACTCTTAACAATCACACATCGTTAAAAGGAATTAACTTATACCAAATCAAATTTAGGCTTTGACAAGGCTAGGCAGTCAAAATGATGTAATTATATTGGGTACTTGGACATTTGGGCAAAAAGAAAACTGATAATTTAGCCGGACGAGACCACCAACAGTTACCTGCGTTATTAGGGTACTCATGCAAAAGTGGGTGCAAGATAGGGCCCACAAATGATGCAAGAAACCCATAGAGAAAATCAAGGCAGAAGCTTCTTAAAAGGACCGTCGAAAGAATTAACGATCTACTGAACCAAGGTCATAGATCAATAATGATAACAGTAGGACTGCTGCTAACTAGACATTGTAGACTTAAGGAATATTTTTAGTGATATTGGTCTTATAGAAGACCATGCAGGTTTTGCCATGAGGAAAAGAAAACAACAGTCCTTGTATTGTGCGATTGTGATGGCCTAACAAGGGTACGCTAGTTCAGAAAGAAAAGCCAGAAGTTGGAAAATATATGAGAGAAACAATGGCAAAAGATGAGGAGGTTCAAAATCATGGAGGTTCACAATAGACCTATGGATGGTCATGGTGCAAAAGAATGGTTTATCTGCTCTATGAATTTACAGTCTGTGGACTCGGACTACAAAACTAGTTCTACTTATGAAAAATGTTGGTTGTGAAGAAAAATTTGTAAATGTTCATGATGCACGAATATAAATGTACTTATACTTTTATTTAAATGCTTTTTGTATCTTTTTTAATTTTCTGTGCTAAATTGTATGTTTTTTTGTTACAGTCTCTTGTCGTCGCAGAGAGAAGTAGCGATGATTTCGGAGATGATCCACACAGCCTCTTTGGTCCACGACGACGTCATCGACCAATCGGACTTCAGGCGGGGCAAGCCTAGCGTCAACGTCATGTGGAATCATCAGAAGGTAAAAAAAAAACTCTTTTATTATCCCTCAATCATATTAGAAGACAGGGAAGAAGAAATTGGTATTGTTTTCTCTATTGTTATGACAATGGTAGGATGACAACGAAACAAATATTGTGTATTAATAGTCATGTTTTCATCCAAGCCAACATTTTACGAAGATATACTCTTTTTAAATGTATTATAAGGTCATAAAACACTAGTTTTAAATTCATCAGACGCATGATCTATGAACATTAACATCGAAACGTTGAATTGAATTATCTTAGCGGTAGACTGTAAAGAAAATTATGCTGTCTTGTAATAGAAGAATTATTATCAAATCAAATAATTTTCTTTTTTGATAATAGGAACCACGCAAACTCCTCCAAAGTCATCGGTCCCTATTTGTTAACATTTTAAAAGTTGATATGAGTCGATACTAAGATGAAAGTCTTATATCTTCAATGGTTGAAGTAAGTTGAGTAACTGACCACAGCTGTATCGTCCAGTCTTAAAAGAATCATAGGTTCCTTAGGAATCGGTCTAGGAAAAAATGTTATTCTTTTCAGTTTTTGTCGCGACATCGCTGGTACATAGATAATATTTCACTTTTGTGGATGATTGTGATCTATGAATTTTCACTAAAGTTGCAGTTGCAGATTTTGGATCATTTATGAAAATGAATTCTAATATTTGAAACACCTGTTGCTATCTTTACTTATCGTGTATAAAAAGAGAGGTGACCAAGGTGCTTAGTTTTATTTCTATATGTGACACAGTCTCCAGCTTAGGCGTTTTCTTTCATGTCATGTGCGTGACTTTCACCACATTTCCAGCTGTTGAAATCATCCCTCGCTTTATTTTTTTTTATCTTTCAAGAATCCGTAAGCCTGCTCACTTTCCGCATACAAAATCGCTTTATTTATTATTCATCTGGGAAAGTTGATGAGCCAATGTTATTATTAATGTTGAGCCGTTGACGGGTTGTCATAAAATTACACAAATAGACCAAGATGAATCAGAGGCCTTGCGCAGGCTCCGAACGGCAGTAATTAACAATAACAGTTTATTGTATCATCGTTAATATTGCAACTAATTATGGCCGAAGAACGGTATGCATACTGATGGGCCGACGCCGACGGTAGAAGAATTCACAAGCGGTACAGTATGTAAATAGCACGATTAACGGGGTGTTGTAATCCTTGTTTTGCAAGCAGATGTAGTTTCTGTTTAATGCTTGTCCATTTCTGTTATGTTTGTTGAACATCTAATTGTACAGGGGATCCCGTTCATACTTCAGGAAAACTGGGGGAGGGGAGTATACAGGGTATTGAAGTTCTTACTTTGAAAATAGGGTTATTCAAAGCGGTTAAAGATGATAAAAATGTCAACATTTTTACACAAATAAATTTCAACAGTGTCTTAAGAGAAACGTGCAAATCATGTTATTCCCAGTAGCAGTGGCGTGGATACGGGCAGTTTGAGGGATAAAATTGAAGGAATAATATATTAAAAGTCAATATTTCTTAAACATCCTAAGAGATTTGAAAGCCCGAAGGATAATTAAAAAAGTACGCATGTTGAAAACCCATAGGAAGTACATTTTTCGAGAAAAAAGAAGGTGAAGCTCTTTGGTCACACAAAACGGCAGAATTAAATTAAAAAATAATAACATGAAAAAGTATGATTTGGTATGGTTTGAACACAATTTTTAGTTTCACATTTATGACCAGAAATGCAACATTAAATAACTAACTCTCTTATAACTACGAATAAATTAACCGTTTCATGGAGGAAAAACGATACAGGGTGTCCCAAAAATACCTAATCGCCAATCGCACAATCGGCGCCAGACCACTAATTCATAACAAATGTATTTTAACTAATCATCTGTGCCATGGAAAACAAAAAATAATACAGTAGATCAAATAAAACTCAAAGGAAAATTTTGTAGTTAACAGAAAAGAAACAATACAATGAATATCAGTTAAAAGAAAAACAATTTAATTAAATACATTAACCATTATACAAAGTTCAACGCGAAATAACATTAATTAAACACAAAACACATTAAACGAAGAACAACAAACACAAAACAACTAAAGAAATAAATTGTAGCTGTCGCTCTCTATCGTTTTCCTCTAATGCCTGTACTTTTTGAGGAATGTATGGGTTGAATTTGTACTTTTTCAATACTGGATGTACAGTTCTCTTTGATGCTCTAATATTATTAGAAATTTCTCGAATGGAAGTTCTTGGATTTTCTTAAATCTTAAGAAGAACATTGAACTCGATGTTTTAATTAAATTGGCGTTCTTCTCGCTTTGGTTTCTTAAAAGCACCATAGTCTTCAAATCTACGTGTTTCTGGAACTTCTCTGTGAGGGAATAGTTCTCTGTAAAGGCGGACCCATGCACCACGATTTTTATTACACCGAAAGTATACCTAAATCATGTCCGTTAATTGATTATTAGTGATATTTTGCACTGTTGAGCTTATTTCAATAAATAACCCACTGTAAATGACACAGAAAGAGTATAATGCGTAAAAAAAGGGACACGAACGCTAAAGTGACATTTACTGGTTTTATGTATTATTTTTTGTTTTCCAGCATACATGATTAGTCAAAATATGTTTGTTGTCAATTAAGCGATCGGACACGAACGCTAAAGTGACATTTACTAGCTTTGTTGTATTATTTTTTGTTTTCCAGGATACATGATTAGTCAAAATATGTTTGTTGTCAATTAAGCGATCGGGCGCGGTATTGACTAATATTTTCACACTTTTTCTGTAATACATTTTTCACACAAGTAAACTTTATATACATCGTTGAATTCAGAATAGAAATCTGCACAATATTAAATAAAAAAAACTATATTGCCATTTGAAAAAAGCTGACTATCGCGTTTCAAAAAAATAATAAATGCGCTCCAATAGGCTCACTCTATAGTGTATTTAAAGCCATTTCACATAATTTTTTGTTTGCTAAGGACGGGATTTTGTACAAAAAATATCGCCCAGCGTGAGTCACGAAACGGGACCCCGGCAAGTGCTGCTCTAGCTCTAGCGGCCAACGCTTCAAGGTGTGTTGTTTAATAATAATTTACGCTGGACCGATATTTTAACAGGCCTCGCGCCCGATTGTTCAGGAACGGCTCCAATTTGTGTACATACAGTCTTATAAGGAAAGAGGGTAAAGATTTTATTAATCATTAATAGATTAACGAGGACAATAATAATTTTTTATTAATTAGGCAATAATTTTTAGTTAATAAGCTTAAACAATCTTAGAATTACCATTCCTTTATTATAAAAGCAGATATAATTTCTAAAATTCCATGTAGTGTTTTCTTTAAAAGCTTAAAAAACGTATAACAGGAATAGTCAACAGTCTATTGATTATATTTTCACGTTAACAATCGGACACATAAATTACCTGTTATTTTCAGTAAAAATTATATAACTTGAATTATTTTTTTACTTTGGTGAGTCGTATTAATTTAAAAAACACTGCCTAATTACTAAAATATATAGAAACTTGCTACTAATTACGTTTAGAGAATAATATGTATAGTGGGGTGGACCAAAAAAAAAACGATTTTTTTTCGTGTCTCTTGTAAAAATATGTTAGTTTATCATGTTTTAAGAGCCCCCTCAAAAAATCAGCTCAAAAAAATGTTTTTAAAGGTCGCTCAAGATTTTTAAAAATTTCCAAAATCGTCAAAAATTGAATTTTTTTGTTTAATTTTTTCCCCGTTATTTTATCATTTTCTAGGTTGAAAAAAATCTCGATTCTGAAAATTTCAAATCGATATTTTAATTTCTAAAGGTCACTCATAATTATTTTAATTTTCAGAGTTGAGCGACCTCTAAAAAATAAAAAATTTTAAAAAAATTAAAAAATTATAAATATTTGATACTCACAGTGCGGTAGTAAATTTTGCCTCGAGACATTTATTAAGTGTTTCGTTCTCGTGTCAATGAAAAAAAATTGTTAGTTTGTTGATATTTATTTTTTAGAGGTCGCTTGAAAACATAGGTACCTACCTACACTACTTTGAAAATTAAAATAATTATGAGTGACCTTTAGGAATTAAAATATCGATTTGAAATTTTCAGAATCGAGATTTTTTCCAACCTAGAAGATGATAAAATAACGGGAAAAAAAATTAAACAAAAAAAATTCAAATTTTTACTGACTATAAGTCGCACTATCGTCTTTAGTACTGTGAAGGTCATTTGTCTCGAAAGCTCTTTTTTTATTTTTAAGCAAAACAGAAGGGATCTCCGTAAACAACAATCTGAAAAAATTTGTTAAAATAATACAGTCGTGTGTAAAATGTTACTCGAGGACACAAATTATAGAATTATTAATAAATATTAATCTGAAAATTAAATACAAATGATCCTAGGTGTCCGTTCTAGTCAGTGAAGTAGTTTGGTTATTGTGCCTGACCTAGTTCCGTCGTAAAAGCAATATATTGACAGACTAACAGTATGGTTAAAATTGAGGTACTTTGGCATTTATTTAAATTATTCTTCTGTTCTCATGAGCATTGAAATTTATCTCACTCACTAGCGGGAACCATTGCAAATACATTGATAAATAATAATATTCAATTATGTTATTTTCTTCGATGATTTGTGTCCTCATCTGAAGCTCTGTTACACGGTAAAAATATACATACTAAATCGCCCCCTTAAAACCAGACTATAAATGACGGAGTTATGGCTTACTGAGTTTTTTAGGAGACAGCGTGTATAAATAAGAAAAAGTCCAGCACTGGATGAGTAGACATTTCCACAAAAGCATACACCTATCATTTTGTACATACATTTCAGTTTTCGATAAGATTGAACCTAAATCTATTTAAATATGTATTTTTCTTCGACATGCGGCTATTTTAGACGGCATAATCACTTATATTAAGCGTATTTACCTCGACAAATAGATGAAGTAAAAGCCCAATCAAGATGTGCTCTTACATGCAAATGAGTGCCGACATGCCGAATCGT